AAGTTGCATATTTAACAACATATGTGAGTTCAATAATGTTTGGCTAAATCAAAAAACTGAAAAAAGGCCCTAGCTGGTTTCGCTCAGTGGTTAGAGCTTTGGCCCTCAGACTGAAGGGTATCAGGTTTGATTCTGGTCAAGGCCCAGTTGTCTCAAATTCTTTTTTGAAACCAGGGATGGAATATCAATAAATGGGAAGCAATCTTTTCTTTTACCTTCACTCAAGGACACTCTTATTGATTTTAGAGAGAAGGGGAGGAAGAGAAAAAGAGAGAGAGAGAAACATCAAAACCTGCAACCGAGGTATGTGCCCTGAGCAGGAACAAAACTTGCAAACTGTCGGCGTATGAGATGAAGCTCTGACCAAATGAGCCACACCGGCCAGGGCGAAATACAGTCTTTAATATGGTTATATATAATCAGAACCCTTACAAAAATATAATGGGGATTGATACTAAACATATTTTTAGGAAACTGTATCCAATAGTTGGTCAACCTCATCAATTTTCTCCATCAATTTGAGCAAACACAGTAAGATGTGCTTACTCAGAGAATGCTCTTGGGTTTAAGTCCTTGTCGCACAAAAAGGTCATTTCCAGAAATGCCAGTTCAGGTCAAACCATTAGAAATCCAGCGTGATTCAGAACTGTTTGGATTTTAGATGGATTGCTTTGGATTTCTCAAGCGGGACCCAGGGCCAGTTATGCTCATCCTTTACAACCTACAGGCCAGTTCTGAGTTGGAACTGGTGGTAAATAAAACCAACTGGAAACAGATGGCCTGAGGACTAGAATCATGCAATTTACGTAGCACATATTTAATTTTACCAATTGGTAAATTCATTTTGTATTTCTCAGAAAGGGAAAAAAAAAAGATATGACATGAGCCTTAATCACTTGTGATTGTAGCAGAGAACCAAAGTGACACTTGAAAACAGGAAGCTACAAATCTAACAACACAGAGTGCTTGCCTCCATGGCGTCATCACTTTGAAATATCACCCCTCTTCCTAAAATGAAGTGATTGACACTAATGAATTTTCAGAGCTAATAAAAAAAAAAGTTAGACCAAATCAGCATTGGTAGATTTCCAAAGGACAGAAGGAAATAAATGCTGCCAACAACCATTGTACATTTAGTGAGACAATTGGAAAGGGGCTACAAGCTACAGTGTTCGAAATTGTTTCCTGCTGAATCTGGCTTGCACTAATAAATGTGTACATTGCCAGATCAAATGAAAGTGACTTTTACTCTGTTTGGTCAGTTGTAGTTTTTACAATAATGCTAAATAATTAACAACCAGAAGTCCAACAAAGAAAAATAGTAGATATTAAACGCCCCCCAAAAAAAATCAGAATTATATAGTCACTGATGATTTTGAAGTCCTGTCTTTTACATTAAAAAATAGTTAAAGTGAGACACAATAAACTTAGTAAGGTTATTAACTGCTCATTCCTTAGTCTCATTCCAGGTTCAATGGTGTGCTGGTACTTTATTCTTCACACCTTCTCCTGCCCATGCAAACTAGTCCTAATGCCTTATATGTAAATTTTTTGTACATAACTTTTTTCACAAATACATCTGAAGCATATTAGTTATCTATCAGTCATCATTTATACTACATTTCCATGCACCACATATAAATATTCATTGTCTAACTATTATGTGTTTGGCATATACCAAATATTAAGAGCCAAGGTCACTCAGTCAAATAAGCTTTCAAGAACCATCCAATAAATCAACTCAAACAAATTATTCACTGGGAAATTATCCTTCTTTCTGGTGGCTGTGAGAACGGTAGAGAATGGTCTGCTGCTACCATAAACTAGTGTAATAAATAAATAAGATGGCCGGTTGTCAAGGGGTAAAAATTACACTGTTGAAAATGCAATTGGGTTTTCAGAGACCTTCATACTTAAACTCTTTGCAGAAAGGAGAAACAGTGTTTTATAGCTCAGCCCTAAAGGTCACTTTTTTTTTTTTTTTTAAACTGTAATTGAGAACTGAAGACTTTTCACTGCTAACTGTCATAACAAAATAAAATATATCAACAATTTAAGCTTGTATTAGCAGTAAATTTATATATTTCATTTGGCTACTGGAATTCTGTTTAGCTAATGAAATCTTCTAGCATTGTAGCTAAAATTAAAACTGAAATATTTATTTAGTTGTTGCTAAATGGTGTCCATTATCACACATTAGTATATTCAAGTATTCTATTTTAGAAATAAGGTTATAACCAAAGTAGTCAAAAGAAATCAGGTACACCAAATTGCCTACAATTTAACAACATTTGAATATCCTTTGACTATGATACAGAGCAAATAAGTTTGAACCATGATTACTAAAATACAAAAATGTTTGGCTTAAAGGTGTCATATCAAATTCCTTCGATTAAATATTTATACTCAGGTCATGGTAAAAAAGAAAATGCTTTGTCTATTGTTTTTGGTTACATTCTGTTTTGCTTTGTCTTGTTTTTTCTAGTATCAGGCACATTTCAAGTCTGGTGCATGTTTCTGAGTAAAAGTGACAGGGAGAGACTCAAGGAGTTTCACATCAAAAGAAAACAAAGCTCAAAAATAATCAACAATCAAAGAAAAACTCCTTCACCAAAGCTGAAGCAGTCCGATAATAACAGCAAGAAGCCAAAATGCTCCTGGCTCATCTACTGACAACCTTGGGTTTTAGGGAGAGGTTCACATACACTTAGTGGTATCTGCCCTGCAGTGAAAATCTCTGTAGCAAACTTTTTGTACATATGAAATTTTCTGAGGAGAGAGAACATATTTTTCTTTAGATTTTGAAAGGGATCTCTAACTACCCAAAAAGACAAGAGTAATAATACAATTCTAACAATGATCCATTAGGATATTATTTGACCTTCAGAAGTAGCCTATGTTGCTTGAAATGCTCATAGAGTAATTATAATGCTAAAATATTGTATTTGTTTATGGATTTTTACAAATAAACTCAATTGTTTAATATAATAGAACTTGCCATTTAAAATTACAATAGTGATTTCACTCATATGTGGAATCTAATGGACAAAATAAACTGATGAAAAAAATAGATCCAGAGACATAGAAGCATGGAACAGACAGGAATCTCAGAGGGAAGGCAGGGCTAGGGGAGTGGGTGGGGAGAGATTAATCAAAGAACTTATATGCATATATGCCTAACCCATGGACACAGCCAGTAGTGTGGGGAAGGCATGGGGGT